ATATATATGTATGTATGTATGTATATGTATGTATGTATATATGTCTATACATGTATATGTATATGTATATGTATATGTATATATATGTTTGTGTGTGTATATATCTATGTCTATGTATATATCTATACATATGTATGTATATGTATATGTATAAATCTATGTATATATATGTATACATATGTATGTATATGTATGTATATGTATATGTATATGTATATGTATATGTATATGTATATGTATATGTATATGTATATGTATATGTATAAATACAAGTATAAGTATAAGTATGAGTATAAGTATGAGTATAAGTATGAGTATAAGTATGAGTATAAGTATATATATATATATATATATATATATATACATATATATACATATTATATATATATACATATATACATCCCACTATACCGTGAGAAGTTGAGTGTATAACTATCCGCATCTCCTCCCAAGTACGACACCGACACGGCCACATGCTCGGCCAAGTCGGTCCTCTCGCGGAATACCACCCACCCAGTACCACACACACTGGCCCCAAACTTATGACCTGAGGCGCTGATACTCAGAACATTGGGCAGGCGAAAGTCCCAAGCAGGTACTTCGGGTTGGAACGGGGCAATGAACCCACCCGAGGCAGCGTCCACGTGCAAGCCAATTTGGTATCCTGGGTATGGGGGGTAGAGAGGTGAGTATGTGTTGTGTGTTAGGTCTATAAACCTTAGACCCTAGAACTCTTGGGGTAGGTAGGCTTGGTTCGGTAGCATGCAAGGAGAAGGATGTGTGGCGACACATTGCCCGTTAGTCGAAGGACACAGCAACCCGTGTGAACAGCACAGAAATGCAACGATATATAATACTATAAATAACAAATATAGAACATATATGTCTGTTGAACCATGCTGTGCACGCCCATCGAGTATGCCAGAACGAACAATAAAATAATGTACAGATATAGATACATACATACATATACAAATATATATATTATATATATATATATATATATATACATATATACATATATATATATATACAAATACATATATAATGTGTGTGTATGAATGCCTAGTTAGTGAACATACCCTTCTCCTTGTTGAGTTTGGTCAATGCCTCGTCCAGGTCCCATACGGGATCGTAGTGCCCGGTGTAGTGATTGCCCATAATGGCGACCATTCCAATGGTCTTGTCATCACACAGGGCAATCATGTCTTCGGCATTGACCTGAGAAAGGGAATATATATGTTAGGGGAAACATAAGTATGAAACAGAGGAGATAAGTGTGTCATATAGCAGATAAGTATGTAAATAATAACACATGTTAACGAGTAGATATGTAAGAGAAGAAATGGGTGAATATATATATATATATATTGTATGGTACAATGACATCTCCGTACATCCGCAGCAGTGCAACTGATCGTATCTGCACAATTGTTAGGGGCTCTAAACGTAGCTTCTCTGCTGATCGACTGACCGCGATTCGACCCATACCCATTGCCTTTGCAGACTCACTCGCGTTGTAGAGCTTTTAAGATCTGACCAACAATAACACGGCTACACACACCGCACGAACCTCAGCCCAATAACAGATCTCCCTTATACTAACATAGCACACACACCATACGGATCATTCTCATAGTATCATATCAGTAATATATTGAGTTGTGTGCACTACACACAGAGCTGCAGTCACCTTACGAAGCATTCGCACAATATCACATCATTATTAATATATGGGCAGATCACACACAACCCTTAAACCCTAAAAACACACACCTTGCAATGCTCAGAACTCGGGGCGACAAATCGTGGCTCAACATCCATAAAGCGGAAGAACTTCTCCCAGCAAGCCTGGAACATATCCGACATCACCAAATTAGGATACACCCCACGGACCTCTCCCTCATCCAAACCTACGGAGTGAGAGAGTAGGTTTTAGCGTGTGAGGCTCTAGGGTTTTGGAGTATATTCCACGCCGGAGGCCATGGAGGTGAAGATATATGCTAAACGTAGACATAGGCAAGATATATTGTGAAATACATGAATAGAATAAACATTAGGTAAAACATGACCAAGTAGTCTACATACACATGGTTGAAGATATATCCGAAACCTAGACATAGGTAACATATATAAATAAACACATAGGTAAAGGCCATTATATAACTTAAACACAACGACATACTCTGGACATACTTGTTTGAAGATATATCCTAAACCCAAACATATACAAGACTGACAACCAACCACACGGATAAAAGTACATGTCAGTCCTGCACATACAAAACCCTAGACCCTATTCCGTAAAACGATCTTCAATCAATCCCCCCACACTTACTATGGCGGGCGGCGTACCAGTTTCTCCACCGCATCTTTAGAGCCAGCCCAGCCAACAAGCACGCCTCAGTACTACCAACAGTACCCGCACCTGGGAAGCAGCCATACTGGTCATACTTCTCATCTTTGGGGCAATTCCTGTTGCCAGGGCGAGTATAGGTTGTTAGACTTTGGTACCGGTTGTATAGGTGTGTGCTCGTGTATATAGATATGTGCATATGTATCTGTATATAGGTCACTGTTGGTCATTTTATGCCTAACATGCTAAACGCACGAATTTAAACATTTTGTACTACAAATAAATCATATCATAGTAATGAATATGTATATATATATATATATATAGACACGGACATGTATATATAGAGAAATAAAAATAGAAACATAGAAATATAGATATATATTTAAATAAATAAATAAATAATTATACATAC